TATCCTACACTACGGACGCCCTAGTGTATGCACAGTCCTTGTGATGCCAGAAATGCCTACCCCTCTTTGCAGCACAAGGCATACATAAGCGGGGGGTAAATTTACCCCCCAGATTTGCAATAACCATACACCGGCTATTTCCTCAAGACACTCTATTCCATATACCTTTTACCCGTGCTTCTCCTACACTACGGACGCCCTAGTGTATGTACAGTCCTAATGATGTCCGAAATGCTTACCCCTCTTTCCGACTCAAGGCATACAAAAGCGGAGGGTAAATTTACCCCCCAGATGTGCCGATCACGCATCTTCGTGCCTGCCAACGAGTGCACCCGGGTTGTTCCAATGTACCCTTCCCAGTCAGCGATGTCACATTTACATTCTTTAGCGCAAAGTATGTACATAGCAACCTTCCTCCCAAAACATGTAATCCCTACATGCTTTGCCGACTATGTAACTAGTACATCCGGTGCGATTCGGCTAGCTTTCGACCTCTCCCCCTGGCCTCAAGTCCCAGGTGTGCGTGTTTGCACCAAGATTTTACAACCAAGAGGCGTAGCACACATGTGGCAAGCGATGTTCGTGGTCAAGAGACAGCGCTCAGATGCGCTCAGCAGGATCTCTTTGCAGGCCTCAGTGACGGAACTCACTGCTTCGCATCGCAGGCAGAGAATGCCATCTCCAAGTCGAAAGATATCGGTGCGGCGCCCTGACCCCGACAGTCTACACTCTGACGAACACGTCACATGGAACTGGAGAATGGCCCCTTGGATGATTACTTTGCTCTAGTAACAGGGGGTGTTCCACTTGCAGTGAGTCACTTCTACTGGTAGTGTAGGATATGATGTGATGTGATGTGTTCATCGGCTTCGAGTTTGTAAAGAACATGACAAGAAGACCAAAGGCCAAAGGTCGTTTGGTGCACGATGCCCCCCGTGGCATGGTCGCGCCTTCGATGTTGGTTTCACGTGCGTGAAAACACCGGTCGGTCGGAACTATGTTTCATCGATTTTCTTTTTTTGGGGGGGGAGGTCTTCCTAATTGTTGTTTACTGTACATAAATTATATATATACTGTATATATACACACCATTGCACACCCATAGGTCATTACCAATGATCGGAATCAGTTCATCCTGCTTGTCACATGAAAGATCAGCATGATCAGCCAAAACCAGGCCAGAGACTGGTGACATTTTACCAGCAAAATGATGGGAGAGTCACTTCTTGCCTTTCTTGACCAGGCTATGACTTTGGGGTCTCGCTTTGCGAGGGCATCTTTGATCTTGTGGAGAGCTCGTCAGGGCCGCCCAGGGCACCAACCGCTGGCGGCCGTTTCTTGCGTTGCCAGTTGGGCACGTCGGAAATTCATTGCCAGGTCCGACGAGTGGACGTCCCTCCAATCATGGGTGGAAATCTTCCCTCCAATCAAGACTTTGTAACATATGTAGCCATTGGCGTCCCCGGGAACTGTTAGTTCCTATATCCATCCATGATTGATTCCCGCCAGACAACTTGCTTTCTGAGGGACGGATCGGAGAATCGAAGGCCAAACTGTAAGGAGTAAGTGGTTTCAGAGGTTCAATGGCACTGGCACCCCAAGATGATTGTCTTTGGGACGTGGGTCCATAAACCTTTTTGGGGATTGTGCTATCTACTCTCCATCCATCTCAATCCACTGTAATGCTGGCTAAAAGATGCATTAGCAGTTGGATTGCCGCTCGTGTGGTGAGTTCCTTTTTCAAGTCGGTGGATGTGTGGTGCTTACTCTGACATCGGGTTGACGTTCGCAAAACGAAAATTTTTAGAAGCTTCAATCTACACTACAAACTGCTACTTTGTCCACGGTGGTTTACCGGCTCAAAGCTTGATTGTCAACGTGCTCCATGTTTAATCATGTTTCTAGCTTGCTCCCAGCCAGTGAACAATCTTCAAGATGAGTGTTTCCCTTGAAATAATTGCAGGGGTATATCATGTTTTATCGATTGCCAAGGAAAGGAGGTACAGTCTAGTTGTCCTGCAGCTTGAAAGACACCTGAAGTGCAATTGAACGACAAAAGCACTTTGGTTTACACTGAACTGGCTTTGCTACTTCCAAGAGATTGTTTTGTGTATATTTGTGTATTATTTACATACTGATTGATATATCGAACACATTCCAAACCTCTCTCACTACAAATCACCAAAGACTTCGTCAGCACGAACAGCTGACGTGGAACCTCGGAACCGTGGTCACGGCTGACGCACCATCTGCCGGGTGTCCGGCACCGTCCACCGTCAGGAAGGACGCGGATGGCGGCATTCCTTCGGCACCCCCAATGATGCCACAGATGCCGGACCGGTCCGTGGCAAGTCGCAGTCATTGCCCCTCCGGAGTGAAGATATATATATATATACCCTGGGAGTCAAAGACTACAAAAAGAATGGTCTTTAGGGTGCCTGAAAGGGACTGTTCCTTGTTTCACTATGGAAAAGTATAGTCTGTATGTATATAGTCAATAGTTAGCTCCAAAAGTCTTTTCTCACCATGCGTTTCTTCGGGAAGAACGAAGAAACCGGGAGTGGCACAAGGGATCCAGTGGTGAGTGACGTGTCAATTCATCGTCGGGTTGATCTACAACACCAAGACCCACACTAGATCAGATTCCTTCCAAGAACATCCAAGAATCAACCCCTTGGAGCAGGCCTTTCCCATCCCTGCCTCTGGAAATGTTCACGATGCTGCACACCACTCGTCGCTCACGGCGATCTACCTCACGCCTTGCCTCGCGGCAGGACATGCCCATGGGCATGCCCAACATGCCTCGACCGGGCGGCGGACGGCCAATGCCAAGACCTCCACCAGGCAGATGGCCGATGGGGACCTCTAAGGCCGAAGAGGTCTGAAGAATGGATCCACGATGATCCAAGAGATGGTCACCAGATGGCCGACATGGTTCAGGATTCCAGCTTTGGAGTCCCCCTCAAAGTACCTAGCAACTATTTGTTTTCCGGGTATAAAAAGTTCATACAAGTTACCCCTGAAGTTCAACACAAGTTACGGCATACTTTATACAGCAAAGGCAATCTTGAATCATGACTTTGCAATGAAACACACTCAACAATCTATGACTCCTGGAATGGTTTTTCAGAGAACCATCAGAGACACGGTGGGTTGCATCAGAGACGGTTCGAGCACGGTTTTCCCAGATGTTCATGTTGTTTGCCCAGCGTCATGCCGTTATGCCTAGTCACCAGTCCCTCCCGGCGAGGTGCGCCGATGATGCCGGGTGCGGGCGCGCCGTCCGCACAGCCGGCGGCCGTGGCGAAGCCGAAGATTGTGCGGGGGCTTAGGCGGAGCGAGGCGACCAGGTAGCCCTGAAAAAGAGCTGTGCCACAGGTAGAAGTTTGGTTTGGACGCTGGTCTTCTTTCGATGGTTCGGTGGCAGAAGTCTTGACAGACCCGAGTTGTTTGGTCGGAGCTTCTGTTGCACGTTCAGGTCCAATAAGTACACAGCTCAGCCCAGAGGTGGACCCCTCAAGACAACGGCCCAGCGCAGCCTCTTATGCCAAAAGACTCCCCTGGATGTTCAACAGTTCCAACTTGTTCCAACCCTTTGTTGATGTCGTTTCTCATTTGCCGCCTGCCTCGCTTATCAGCAGTCCAGTTGGTCAATGCGCCGCATTTGAAGGCAGGGACTGCTGGGAATGTCCTAATCACATTCTTCAACCGGGTAGATAAGGACTTTCTCAAGCTCCAAGGTCCCCAGAGTTTGCTACCCATCCCAACTTATATATATATATATATGTATACAATGTATATAAACATTGTACACATATATATATATATATACATATGGTACCCCCCAAAAAAATAACACACACAACACTTTCAGACAAATAGGGGAGGTGGGGGGTACCAACAAATCTGAATTTGCAATGTGCATATGGCGTGTGATCAAAATGCTAAATGAACATCCTCCTACATCTGATCAAATATATATTTGATATAAACTATATACTGGTGGTATAAAATTTGGATTTTTTTGAGCCTGCCAGCATTTTTGCAAGGTGGGGTAGACCAAAAATTGCAA